GAGTGGAGTGGAGTGGAGTGGAGGTGAGTTGAGTTGAGTGAGGTGAGGTGAGTTGAGTTGAGTTGAGTAGGGAGGGAGGGAGTGAGTGAGTGAGTTGGGTAGGTAGGTAGGTAGGGAGGGAGGGAGGGAGGGAGTGAGTGAGTGAGTTGAGTAGGTAGGTAGGTAGGGAGGGAGGGAGGGAGTGAGTTGAGTAGGTAGGTAGGTAGGGAGGGAGGGAGGGAGGGAGGGAGGGGTTGAATCGGTGAGCGGGTCAATGAGTCGAACCAAGGAACTTCTTCTTCCATCCGTCGACGTGGTTCGGCTTGGTGATTTTCGGGGCGCCACCTGTTTTCACAGCCTTCGCACCAAACTTGGTGCTGTTCTCTTCACAAAGCAACTTGGAAGAGGCCAGGCTCGTGGCCCTCTGGTGCAGTGGTGGAGTGTGAGACGTGGGGACTGTCCGAAAGGATCCCAAGGAGTGTGGCGAGACGTGGCTCCAATCCGGCCGCATTCCTGTTGTGCTCTTGAGTCTTAGCAAAGGGTGAAGGTTCTTTTTGGGGTCCTTAGGTTGGAGGCCATCTCTATGAGTAACTACTAGGAGCAAAGGGCATCGCTACTAGGAGCAAGGATGCTACTAGGGGCTCCTGGCCTTACTAAGGAGCAAGAAGCTAGTAGGTTGGAGGCCATCGCTCTTAGGTTGGATTTGGAGTTTGACCTGTATGGTATGGCACTACCACCGCTGCCTGGAGCGCCGCAGCTGATCCGAAATCCAGCAGCAATACACCGCGACAGAAAAGGCGTGCTTTCTGCACTGCAGAGGAGGTTCTGCACTGTGAGGACATGTTGGTGGTTTGGGAGGTTCTGCCAAGTGAAGGTCTTCGATCAGTGTTTGAAATCTATCGAAATGCCCCAAGAATCTTAAGAGACATGCAATCAGACTCGTCAGACCAGAAGAAAACCGACTCTGCAGAACCTTCTGGAGCTTGCTTTTGGGTACTCGGCGCCGCGACAGGTCCGATGCGAGAGGCTCTCTCTGTGTCAGAGCCGCAGCTTCCGGGCCCGAGCGGTGCGGCGGCGGCGAAGACGGGCCGGTGCGGTGAAGACGGCCAACAGCGGCGAAGACGGGAGCAGTATTGGTTCTTTTTCTCTTGAAGTGTGGCGGCGAACGAGTACGTAGAGGAGACCAAGAAACCCAGTTCAGTTGAGAATTCCTCACTATCAGGATCTATCTATCAGTCAATACCTTGGCTGCAAGAAGGGGTTTCATCATCCTTTCATCTGTAGGTGACGAAGACTGTGGAGCTAATGCTGCAGCAAATGCGAGATCTAGGAGAAGGTGCGGAAAAAAAACATCATGTCGCGATGGCGGGATCCGCTGAGATGGGCCGGAGGTATCAAAAGGTGTATGTTGTACATTCACTATGAGGGGGGCGCTGGTGTAGCTGTTGACATGTGGGCTGCCAAAGGCATCGAACCGACCGGTGCGATCGCTTCTCCAACTTCACCGATCAACCCATCCGACGGACGTTCATTGGTCACCCTTAAGGACCCCCAAAATCAGATGCCCAAGTGCCCACCCAAGCGCCATTGACCCAGATCGCGGGTCTGCCGACATCATCAATTCGGTGCTTTGCTTCGAGATTGAAAGAGGCTTACCACCGGACCTGGAGAATCACTGTTGTGTCAATTGGGCGACTCTGGACCTGGAGATGCCTTAAGTTCTGCCACAGGATCTGCTGCGAAAGATGAGGAGGACGCCTTAGAGGCTTGGCTCATGGCCTATGGTCCTTGCCGGCCGAGTTGTTTTGGTCTGGGCGAGAGGAGGCCGGGAGTCTTGAAAAAGACTTTGTAGTGGAAAGACTAAGCACCCCCAAACACCACTGAATCCAACCAAGCCACCCAAGCAATCCAACCAATCCACCCAAGCTACGTCGGGCCGTTCCAAGAGATTTACCTTGCAAGGTCCACCTGCCATCTCGGTCGGTCGAACGCCGCGCGGTCTTCCGCGCGGATGCCGCGCGGTCTCGCGCGCCGTCCCGGCCGTGCCCGGGGGGTCGCTCACTGCGACCGGAGCGGAGTCCGGTTCGACCGGACGAGGTCGACAGTTGGACGGTGCAGACGGTTCCACCGGGTTTGGGGACGCTGTGCAGACGGTGGAACCGTGGATCGCGCTTCGTTCGCAGGGGGGCGATTCCTGGGAGCCCTTGGGCCGTGTGCTCTTTGGCCGTGGGGGTTCTGAGCTCGAAAGCGACGGCGGCGCTCCCAACAAGCAGGGTTTGCGTGGAGTCCACCCACCACCGGGGGGGCCCGGTCTTCGGATTGGACATGGTCATTCCGAGAAGAGGAGTGTAGGGTAGCCATGTTCGTTGTTTTTCACGTCGAAATCAGGGAGTGTAGGGTTTGCTTCCAAAAGCCGGGGGGTCTCTCATCCTTCTCCCTCCGCGTCGCACCCAAAAGGGTCCCTTTTCAACGCCTTCGCACCGGTCGCACCGGTGCTGGTCAAGCATCCAAACCCTAGGTTTCTTGATTCCGAAAACTATCCCCCCGCCCTAGACGTGGATGGTAAAACCTCATCATTTGTATATGGTTTCATCGAGTCTACAGTATAAAATTACACATCAAGGGAGGAGGTATTTTTGAAGGACACGTCTGGTCAGGGTATCTTGCGCTGTTGCAGAGAGCTTTCATGCAGATATCACCCTAACAAAGGCTGTATGTGGAATCTCACTCTTGCTATTCTTGGCTCCAGCTAATTGGCACACTTGCTGGTTGCTTAGGGGTGTTATATAGTTGGTTTTCCTCCAACTTCTGAGAGCGGGCAAACCAAGGTCCCAATACCAAACTTGCGGAGATCTTTTGCCTGGGCCGTGAGTATCAAAGGCGGGCTGGGTCAGGCCTCGGAGGTATTCATCACCGGTATTCGGAAGGGCTGAGGCGGACGAAACACCTCAAGCCTAGCCTGGCTTATGATGGATCATTTTCTTGAATTGCCCACACTGGTCCTAAGAAAAGGGCGGAGCCGAATGGGTGGCAAAAGACCAACCAATGTTTGGTCAGTTCTTCGCCGTATGGTGGAGCCTGAGAGACGCTCAACGCATGATAGGGAAGAGCACATGTGCATCTAGGTCCCCTTCTTTGAGACCAACCCAAAGTGGGAGGGCAATTCGGCCTCCGACACGCCACTATGAAACAAACACAGATATGTATACAATGCTGCTGCAGTGACAAGTAGAGGGTGGTCATGGTATGAGAGGAGAAGACGGGCGTGGTGTTTCAGGGACCCAACAAAACAAATCCAGGCCAACTTGCCAATCGCGAAAGCGAACGCATCAGCTAGCTGGAGTCGCTCTCGCTTTAGCGAGTTTTTGGCTGGGGGTTGGAATCGGCTACCAATCACTGCTAGGGCTAGGCGGGGGGAAAGCCCCCGATTCAAATCTGGCTTGGTCCCAAATAGGAAGGGAAAAACTCGCACCGCAAACTGCTGAAATGGGTTTGCTAGCTTTCGTCACCAACCCCTGACCTCAAGTTTTTCCTTTCTTGACCTCTTGACCAACATTCCGCGGCATCTCTCTCTCTCTCTATCATGGCAGTGGGTCCCTACAATCATATAGACAATGGTCCAGACTCTGGGCTCGCAACGGACCTGTCTCCTTCTCAGCCCCTGTCCTTTCTCTGACCTGGTCCCAAGAAGCGAGGCTGAGGTGGAATGCCTCACGGAAGGCTATCAGTGATGAGGACGGCGGTGTGGAGAAAACGGGGGAAGCCGAACCGGCGAAGATGTGCTCAGCGTGTGGTCCTTACATGAGAAAACTGGACAGAATTGCCCGAAACCTGAGGTGAAACCAATAATTGGACAATCTAGCTACCTAATCAAGTGATTACTGTAACTACTCGAGAATGAAGCTTTGGATTTGAGGTTGGTTTCTTGTGCATTCTAGAACCTCCAAAGGCAAAAAGACTGATTACTGTAAATGAAGGGACATCTTGACCTCACAGCAGGGGGTTCCGGCACATGAAGTACAACATGATCAACATGAAAGATTTGTGAAAGATGTGTGACAACAGGTTGTCAAGCTGGTCATTCAGGAGTTGTAGTGTTGTAGTGTTCATTCAGATACTTGAGTCTTCAAAAGGTCCTGTTTGCCTTGTAGGAGATGCCGCTGTCTGCTCTAGAAGAGCTTCAAGAGCTTGTTGGGAGTGCCCAGAGGAGGTGAATGAGACCTCAACCGCAGGGGATTCGTCATCACCCGAAACAAACCGACCTGGTCTAATACCATATGATTGCTCCAAAACATCCAAAAACATTGTTTACATGTTTTCAGTCTTGAGTGCGACATGTTTTCAGTACTTTCCCTTTTTCCTGGCTCCCAGAGAGATCGAACTGCTTCATTCCAGTTTTCTCAGCATCGGTCAAGTCGACCGTTCGTGTCGAAACAGAACCGTTCGGGGTGGACATGAAAAAGAAGGGGCGAACGACACTTCACTGGAACTTCTCTTCAGAGTTTTCGATATGCACCGAAACACACATAAACAAACACACACACACATCCATCCATTTTGCTTACTAGGTCAAAAGAAAGGCTTGCAAGGGCGAAGTCAATCTCTTGAACGTCCAAAATATGATCAAGTGTCATGAATGAAGAACTAAGAAATACCAGGAACGCGTCCTTGTCATGAGGCGTGAAGAACTCCAAATCTGTTCCCATTAGTTTGTTTGTCGTCATCGCCCTGCATTCGTGGGCTCATAGAGCATTTGAAAGGGTTGACAACAAGCGATTGACGTCGCTGGGGAGTCGTGCTGAACACATCAGAAGCTGACGAGTTCTTCGAACTATAGATGGCCTTTTACGGACTTGGTTAGGTGATTTTTCTAGAGGGGATACCCCCAAGTGTGTACAACCGATAGGTATGGTACTAAATCGGCCCTTTATTATTCCCCAAAGGACATCATTGCTTTGACAAGCACCGTGCATGTACATGCCTTTGTAAGGCAACTGTCACGGTAGAGGTTACTTGACCAAAGAAACCAAGCCTCAGTAAAATTGCACGTCTAGTTAGTTAGCGAAGAGCCCAAACAGTGTATTTTGCAAGGACGCTAGCAGAAGAGGACCAAAACGTAAAAACCCTCTGTCTGAAGGAACCGGCCTCTGTCTGAAGTTCCGCTTGAGCAGTTCAAGTGCTGAACGATCAACCTGTGGTGTGACATATCATACCATGTCGGCTACAAACCCGCAGGTTTGAAGCTGTACATGTGTTGAAGCTGTACAAACCCACGTGAACACATGCAAATCCGCGCAAGGCATAAACCGTGTAAACCCACGCAAGCCGGCGTTACGCAATTTCAGGCACATTTCCCGTCGCACGGCAACTGTCCAGTCAGTGATGCCTAGGGCCCTAGGGAATCAGCAGGAAACTACACCTGGGTATTACATGCCTTGGTTACAAGACTTGCTCCTCAAGTCATGCCGTGTTTATCCGACAATTTCCAGAATCGAGTTGGCCAAAACAGTCACAAAAAGCGAAAGAAGAAGCTTTTAAGAGTTGCCCATCTGTTTTTTTGGACACCCCAAGCCGGGTGCGGGAGCTGGCCGATGAATCGGCCGATGGACCGGAGCCCCGAATGGACTGGAGCCCAGATGGCACTGCGGATCAGTGGCCGGAGGAGAGAAGCCCAGGTCGGGTCGTCCTGGGGCGTCGAAGACCTGGTTCCAACCTCTGACCTCTCAGGTTCCGAAGCTTCCTCTGGACCTGGTGCCCGATGCTTGGGTCGTCTCAGAGCAACTTCAGCAGGCCTCGACTTGGGGCCGAAGTTGGTGCGTAACCTGAGTCGCTGCACCGCACAAACCAGACGTTACAGGGTCAGAGACTCAAAGAGTCATCAAAGAGTCAAAGAGTCATCAACTCGCACAGTTGTCTGCAGCAAAATGGAGGTCTTGGATTCTTGTATGCATGTTCCAGACATACTTACTGCTTGTATTCTTGTAGTCTGCTGGAGGTCTTGTATTCTTGTATTCATCCTCCAGACTTACTGCTGAAGGTAAGGTGTGGATGTCCGGACTTGCCACAAACAAATGACCCACCGACACCAACAGCTGCACTTGCGAGAGGCGGTTCTGGCAGCGGCCAGCAGCTGTGGGTTGAAAGGCAGGAAGTACCTCAATCGAAGCGATTTGGTTCACACCTCGCGCGATGTTCAGCGTCACGTTGGACGGCTTGGCGGGGGTGATTTCTGTATACGTCCAGTGGGATATATATATATATATATAGACCTCAGGCTTGTGTTATGCCTGCTCTTAAACCGGTGACACGCACAGCAAGAAGTCATAGCGAGATACAGAAGTACCCTCCCCAGAACTACCTGATAATGGCCAATTGTCAAAGTAGTCGGAGTATTTCATCGTTGGCCTTGTTCTTTCCGTATCTGTGGATCTGAGTGAACGGAGTTCGAGGATACGCCAGAGAGAGGGACTGAAGAGACGGAACTGCTGGCGCTGCAAGCCTGCCTGTTCGGAAAAGTCCTCAAAAACCATCGTCGTTTGTCCACTTGACGAAAGCAGCTGTTCTTTGCGACTTTCAAATAGATAATCAGCTGTGGTGTCTTCAAGTCACCACTGCAGCGTATGGGTATCACCTGGAAAACAGTACAACCAATGAATTATGTTTTCAACATAATGTAATATATATATATAATGTAGTTACATTGCTTCTTTTGACCTGCGCTCATAGCCATCAAACACTCCACTGAACTTGCGAACTCGACAAGGAGTGGCCTCAGGGATGTTGCAGGAGGACGAGGCCTGTCGGAGGATAATGGAGAGGATTGCCGTTTCTTTTTGTTGAGGTTGGGAGCATGGAAACGGCCTAAGTCACGACCTCTCTTCCTGACAAGTGGGGTTCGATGGATTAGTGTGGCTTGGATTAAGAGATGTTTGTTTTTGTTTAGACCTTCCTATTCCTTAGAATCCAAAAAGAGCAAGCAGGAAGGCAGCAACTGTTGCCTCTTTTGCTGCCTCACTTGATTTCTGCCTGCATTGCTACCTCGTGATAGTTTTCGCAGTTGTTCCATTGTCGATTCTCATCCATTCTCAGAAACACGACTTGTCTGTGCTTTTTTGTCGCCCACTCGCCATACGAAACTTCGAGACATTTCTACTGGAAAGATGTCCCAACATCTTGCCGAGAAAAGCAGAGAGACCTTTTTGCTGAACACCTCAGCTGAGTTTCCTTGGAGGTGCTGGTGAGTCTTTTGTTAAAGATCTCTGGCCAGAGACTAGTTACTAGTGACTATAGATGTTTGATCTACCACGCACCCAGGTGTTTATAGTAAAGCAGTCTGTCTATGGACCACTTGCAAGTCGGGTGATACACTGACGATTCCCCCTGAACCTGCATCACAGGATGCTTTGAGAGATCCATGTATCTTCATTGTTTGCCCCAGATTTGGAACCAAGACCCCTAGAAGTCCAAAGATAAGACTTTTCCGGAGTGAAGTAAAGGAAGTTCCCGAAATCAGATCCCCTGAAAACCGGGCTCTTTCTCCCTACATGCGGAGGTCCAAGGGGTGCTCAAAACCCGCTGGACCGCTCCCGCCGCCTTGCTCTCACCATCGTACTGGAAACTACTCACACCAACTTAGTGACACCAACTTCCGCGGGGGTCTGTTGCTGGGCTCCGCTGCTGCTCCGCTGCTTTCTGCTGCTCTGCTGCTTTCTGCTGCTCTGTAGGGGGGTTGCTGCTCCTGGCTGCAACTCTGCCAAACTCTGCTGCTCTGAGCTCACCCAACTTGACCCAGACAACGCAACTCACACCAACTCAGCTCAACCAATTCAACTCACCCAACTAAACTTGCACCAACTCAACTTATATACACAAGCCCAACAAGTTGACATCACAATTCCGAGTATTCTTGGCGAGATTGCTGCTGTTGGCACTCAACTCACCCAACTCAATTCACACCAACTCAACTCACACAAGCACAAGTGTTGATATCAACTTTGCAAACGTGCTTTGCAAGATCGATGCTGTTGTGCACATACAGTCACATACAGCTGTATCACGCGACACATCAATGAGCTCGGAATTTTGCTGTGCAAAATTTGGGCTTATAGCTTTGTCGGAAGCCCGTGTATGAAGATGTGTAAATCAATCCTTGCCAGATCATTTGATGTTTATTTGTCATTCATCATCACCACCACCACCATCAGCAGCATCAGCATCAGCATCAGCATCAGCATCACCATCCTCATCGACCTACCTCAAAACACCAACATCACACACTTGGGAAGTTGTGTGTTGGATATGATCGCCAATCTCCAAGCCTGAGTAAAACAGGCGATTGCGTTAGCACATTCCTACAAAACAACGAAGTAGGCAGCGCTGGCCATACTTAGGCTCTAAGAAGAAGATGCCTTGGAGAAAAGGAGTCTGAGTACAACAGTCGACGTGTCTGCAAACAACGAAGTAGACATCGTTGGCCATACTTAGGTTCAAACATGATGAACGGATGGAAGGCCTCCTGTTATAGTAGCGAGCAAAACAAAAGAATCGCTCGTAGCCCATAGCGGTAGTGACATTGGAAAGAAAAACTGTCGAGAACGAAATGCCTCCTGTTCGCGAGCTCGACAAATGAATCGCTCTACCAGTGTAGGATAGTGTAGCTAAGCAAGACAGTGTAGGATGCAAAACCTCCTGTATGACCAGTGAGCGAGACGTTTGTTCGCCTCGCTCATCTCGTGATGGATCAGGGCGAGATAGACCGCTGCCCATCCCTGCGTCGTCTTCTGCCCGTGCCGTCCCGATCGCTGAAAGGATCCGAACGGCTCCGAGCTTCTGCTCCCCATCCGAACGGCTCCGAACCAGCCAAACCTTCCGCTGGTTTTTCTTCCGCTTTCGGATGCGAGTCAGAAAGCTTGACAGGTGAGGTAGTTCTTGGGCTCGATGATCATTGGTGGATGTGCCAGGACGACTCTTCCCCTGAAGCGATGATCGCCAAGTGCGTGCGAAGGCTTTCGGCGCTTCACAGGAGACACGGAGCGGTCGAAGAAGACGGCTGTTCACGGACTCAGCGGAGTGTTGAAGTGTTAAGCTCATGGTGGTGTCTTAGCAGGCTTTTTGCAGCAATGTAGCAGGAGGAGGAGGAGTAGCTCAGGAGTAGGAGTATGCGTAGAATCAATACCCCAGGTGTAGCACGTAGTTGTTGTTGGTGTTTGATCTTCTGGAGCGGCGATGTTGGATCTTCCGGGCTGGAGGCACCGGCGGCACCAGGGCTCTCGGAAGAAAATCATCAGCGACTCTTCCTATCTCTTCAAGTTCTTTTACTTCTTATTTCAGTTAGCACTTCATGCGTATGAAGTCTCTTGCGTATCTTTCGGGGGGAGTGAGACCTACCACAGAAGGACCTACAGAAGTCTTGAGCCGTCACCTTCGTTCACAGCACCATGGTGTACCGGTCCCCCCAACCAATTGGTCGAACGGTTCCTTTGATCTAGTTGCATTCTCATGTGTGTTCGCAAGATGAGAAACCCTGGACACCACGTTCGCACGTTCGTCGCCGGACCGCATCGAACCGGACCAGGGCGACTTGTGACCAGCTTCTGGGGCACCGGGAGGGTCGTTATACACAGCTAAGGGCATGATTCCAAAGGAAACGCTTTGAACCGAAGAGCGATGGCCCCAAGGGTTGCGTCAAAGGTCGGCTTTGGGGTCAACGGTTCCGTTCCCTCCACAGGAGCTGCGGGGTGCCAGGGCTGGTTCCGCTCGCTGTCTCTGTTCCTGGGCGGCAAGCAGATGAGCTGCCCGCCAGCCGTGCGGGCCGTGAATCTCAGGAATTGGAACCTGCAAAAGCGAGTTTGGCCCCCCTCAAAAGCGAGGACCCACAGGTTTTGGATATGTTCAGCATTGTTCAGCTATGTTGAGATTGAGGCTAAACCCTGCCACCGCGAATCTTTTTTGGGCCCTCCTCCCAAAGCGATAACCTTGCTGAATCATGTCCTCTGCTTGACGTCGGTACGTGTTGGCAACGGGATCGCTCGATGAGATGGGTCGAGGCCGTTCCGAGCTAATTGCGATGGCCTCCTACCTAAGAGTCTGGAGAGACATCCGGATTTTTTTGTTCATTTGGTTGAGAGCATGTTTGCTGAAGTGAGCTGTTTGTTCCACACATTTGCAGATCACTCGAATTTGTGGCAAACATGGAACCGACGCTTCTTCATTCCACTGTGGCCCAAACGAGGGCTGGTTTTCCGAGTGGCTTGCGACAGCGCCTGAGGTGCGTTCGCTGCTCGTGATCTTTTTTTGTCGACTCAGTTGGTAGAGGGATCTTCGCCTTCCCAAGCCGACAGATGTTGTCATGTCTTTTTAATGTAGACGGTTGATTAATTAAACCCCCCAGTTGAAGAGGTATTATTGCAAGCAATCGGAAGTCAAGTGGATTTGGTGATCTTCCACTGCTTGTAGCTAATCATTTGGATAGAACACAGAACATGGGAGCACATGAGAACTATCACCTATGTCCACTGTCGATCAACCTCTGGTGCCGGGTAAACCCGCGTGCAGAGCCAAGGCGGCTCGTTTCAGATCCTCACCTCTGATCTGGTCGGTGTGGAGCATGTTTTGGAGCCATTGGAGCCTTCTAGTTTTCTTTGGCCGCTCCTAGAGCCGCCGGATGGACATGGGACAACTGAGTCCTTTTGGATGTAGCGATGAACCGTAACCCGGCCCATTTTTCGGGGGGCTCATGCGAAGCATGATGGGGTGCAATTCTTGGGTGCAATTCTTCCGGTGCGCCAGGAGCTGCCAGAGGATGATGTGGAGGAGGATGCAGCGCTTGATAGAGCGAGGGTGGGATGTGGCCACGTTCGGTGCTTCGCCCAGCGACGCTGGGCTCGGTACGCCGAGCTTCGGTTGGGTGCGGCATTTTTCGGTGCGCCAAGAGCACCTCGGATGACGCTGGAAGGCTGGATGGATCTGTTTACGGTTAGGAATAGGAATTTCAAAGGTAATGAGTTGGCCTGCCCCTATGTTCGCTCAGATTCGTAGGATGGCCAACACGGTTAGGAGCTTCGAGAGGAACCTGGGATCGTCCGTGTTCCCAACTGAACGCGTGGCCTTCTCGAGATCCCTGTGGGGTCTTGATGCTTGCTTTCGTGCTTCTGGCGGGGCCAGGTGTGTTTTTGAGCATGCTGCGTTTTCCTCCTTCAGACTTTTCTTGCACAGCTTCCCGCTAAGGGACCACTTCGCGGTGCTTTCCTGGATTAATTTGCCGATTTGTGTTGATGCAGTTTGTGTTGTTCCCATGCAGCACCCTCTTAGAGGCTGTTTCTGCATTTGTATGCCCTTTTCGTTTGCTCACTTCGTTCGTAGCTTGCCGCTTAGTGTCTCACTGTGGTCAGGCATTGGTCCGGGCCTGCGATCGTGCAGCTTGAAAGGAGAAAAAACAAACCAGTTTACTGTTGGGCTTGTCTCTGTTGGGAAAAAGGTCTGGCCACCGGTAGCCGATAGCCGTTTTTCCGCGCCGGGTGGAGCCCTTTGTTACTATCTTGGACAAGGGCCTTGTCCGGGTCTGTGTGTCCTGCGGCTGCGGTGTGGGACCTCTATTCTACGGGGTCTGTGTGTTTGTCCATGCACCCTTTGTCTCTGCCTTGCAGGCCTTCTTGGGGTCTGTGTCCATGGTCCGCCTTGTCCGGGGCTGGTCCGGGCTTTTTCCGCACCTTGCGTGTCCTGTTTGGCGGTCTTCTCCACCTTGTCCAGGCTGTCTACAAGCTGTTCCCAAACAGCTGGAGTCTACAGGAATACAATTACGGACGTTTCCGCCAACATGTCAATTCAAGATGCATAAACACCTGCTGAAGTGGTTTGTGGGCTATCTTGGGCTTCTTGAGGCTTGACAACATAACAAGAATTCCTTTTGCAAGATGTCAGGTGTTTTGTGCATTTACATGCTAGTATATAGCTAATTTGGTTGATTGATGCCAGCTCTAACAGAACAGCTTCGCAGCTCTCCAACGCACCAAGAAACAACGGCCTCCAGGACTTGTTGGAAGGTCCCGCGGCCATCACCAGCGAGCTTCTGCTGCCTGGAAGCATATGGGTGTGAAGTGAAAGGGCCTGGGGACAAGCAAGAACCTCTTTACTCAGCCTGTGCGCGTTTCTTAAAGCCTCTGGTCCATCCAAGGCGAAACACAGGTTGCCCCATGTGATTCTTCTTGATTCCAAGGTGGCAATGCTTTGGGGGGTCAACCAGCGTCTTTCTTTCAGATCCTTCCACGCCCTTCAGATCCTTCCACGCCCTTCACGCCGTCTGCAGACCCTTCTCAGCAGAGTGAGTTGGGGCTGATAAAAACCCATGGTTTCCGCTGCAAACGGTCGACCTCGGTGTTGGGCGAACTCGGTGAAACAGGGAGGTGAAAACTGTGACTTTGGATGGAAGAAATCCAACTAAAAACGAACAACTTGTAGAACCAGTGGGCATGCCAGTGCAAACGTGTGGAACACCTGGGTATACAGTGTAGAAAACCTGTATTGCCCCAGAACCCTTTTCGGATCAAACAACTTGTCTCAGGATTCTTCAGGTAGTGCGACACTCTTTTTGCACGAAAAGGCGAAGGTCAGAAAAACATCGCCCGACTCCAAGTGAGAAAATACATATAGCTTCGACCCCCGGCCACCATTTTTCGACCCCGGTGGTTTCGGTCTCAGCACCGTTCGCTTCCGTAGCGCACGCGACGGAGCGGCGCGACAGACGACGCGACGCGGCACCCGCACGGACGTGGCGACGCGACGACATCCATCGGCCGGAGGGAGCAGCTGGCCGAGCTGCTGCCGCAGTGTTGGAAGACCGAAGACAGCAGCGACCACTCCGTCGCTCCCGAGTTGCTGAGTCTGGAGGCCGACACGTGGAATGAGTGAAGCTGGGTGGGGTTGTGGGTTGTGGGTTGGGGTGGTGGGGCGGTTGTTGTTCGGGGTTTCTAGTTGAGATCTGAAAAGAAGGATGTAGTCACTACTAGTGACACATCTTCAAGTAGGACTTAAACTGGCAGGTGTAGTTGTACTGTCGTTCGCCCAGTTCTTGCAAACTCTTGAAAGTTTCCCATGTGACCATGTGTCGTGTTGATTAGGGACATGGGATTACCCTCAGAAAATCAAAAGTGTTATAGTCTTAACACAGCTATTCTTTTCAGGAACAGTAGAGATCTTGACCAAGGCCCCAACCTGAGATGGGGCTCAGATGGCTTTTTTGATCTTTTTTGAAAGCTCAGGGCACAGACCCCCTTCAACTGAGGGTGACGAAGTTTGCGCCCTCTTTCACGAATTGAAAGCGAGTGTCATAAGAGAACCAACTGATCATTGGTTGCCTCAGAAATCGCAGATGCCGGTGAACCTGGCAGATGGAACTGTCTTCACTGTCTTCACCCGGAGGCCTTCGAGCACTTGAAGTGGTCCAGTCGACTGTCGCTGGCCAAGCAGATCTCATCTGCATGCCATGGCGCGGCAGCTCCTTGGTCGGACAGGAAGATCGTGATCTATCGAAACACGCTTAGCGCCACATAGGGAATCAATGGGAATCACCTATATTAATCACCGAGATCCTGGGAATTTCCATCATTTTGTGCGAGTTAGGCAATCCATCTGTGTGATCGTGGTGTCTGGGGACTGACTGTGACTTCCTGGTGTCCGAAAAAAGGGTTTCCCCCCCCATGTGTCCCCTATATTGTGTCCTATTCCCTGTAAGAGTCGGTCAAGAATTATATCACTATTTTTGAACAAGGCCTTTGCTAACCATCATCATCCATTGCTACAGGGCATAGGATATACCCAACTCCTATAGACCAACCAGTATTCTAGCTACATACGGCCTCGGATTGAGCAGTTGTCTCATCCGCTGACACCAGATCTCATTCTGCATGAGACACGTGTTCTCTTTGTGGTTGGCTGTCAAACAATGGAGGACACCCGTCCTACTGCGACATGAGATTTACAGCGGTCTCAGAGTAGATGACGCAGACCCCAGATGTCCTAGACAGCTTGGGGGTTCCCAAAACCAGCGCCGATCTTGGGGATTCCGATGGTTCCACCTACACTGAAACCACTTTTAGGTCCTTTCCGCCTCTCCGGGACCAAATCCAGGGCTTGGGTCCCTTGGTCTTTCTTCCGACGGCGACGCCCTCGTGGGCCCACGAGTCCGCCGAGCCGTGGAGTTGTGGAGGACACGGAAACCTAGAGTCCCTGGAGGTTTCTTCGTCCCTTTTTTGGTTTCGGTACTTGGCCTGCGGGACTCTCAGAAAATTAAGGCTCCCAGACGCTCCAAATAGCCGTTAGGTCCCTCAAAACCGGATTGGTTCGACCCCTGACCCCTCCACAGGAGGGTCCATGAGTGTCTGGTTGACCTTTCTTTAAACATATGACCTTTGTTCCGCCGGTTGACCGGCGCCGAACGGTGTTCCGCCGGTGGCGAGTCCCGCGACCGAGGCGTTGCTCCGAGAACTGGAGGCGCCCGAGAAAAAGGAGCCGAGTGGCTGCGGTCCGCGAGCGGTGCGGTCATCGATGCTGGACCGGACCCCGTAGACACATGGTGCAAGGTCTGCTTGAATGTGTGTGTGTGTGTGTGTGTGTTTGAAAATGCAAGCACAGTGAAGCACTGTGTTTTTGTAACAGCTGTCACATTGTTGAGCTTTTCCTACCAGCGGGTCTTGTGTAGTTGAATGGGTCGAGCAGTGGTGTGCGAAGGCTGGTCGAGGCAGACGGAATGCGTTGGCACCATTCCTCTTGGCTCAATGGAACATTGAAAGACCCCAAACTGGGAGGAAAAGAAAGAGACACCAGTAGCCAGAGAATTTGACATGGCCTTGCACCATTCCTCTGACCTACCAAGAAAGCATCAACGGTAACGAGCTCACTTGAGCTGTGAGTTAGCTAAACTCAAGCTGCTAAACAAAATGCGAAGCGCATGCAA